ATTTATTAAAAATAAATTTTTTATTTTTAAATTTATTTTTAATAAATAAATTTTAATAAATTTTTTTAAATTTTAATAAATAGGGAGAAGAACCCACTCATAATCGGATAGTGCCGCTCCTAACGCTCGGCGGCGCTGGCCCTAGCGGCTGCGGCGCGCGCGGTAAGGAGAGGAGAGGAGGCGTATACCACGGAAATCGGCTGAAATGTTCAGACTAATTCCGAGCACTGGCATAGATAAAAGAGCAGTAAAATACGACATGGCTGTCTGTGTCACCTTAAAATTGAACGATAATCTTTACGTTGTGTACGATATTTCGCACAGATCACTTAAACACATAACGAGCTGCACATAATTAGCGACATAACGAACATTTTATTTGCGAAAGATATATATTTGATCGATCAATTTGAAACGTCGCTCTTATAGTATAGTCTTTTTTAATAGTCTCTTGGTTTCCCAAACAGAAATAACGCAGAAATTATAAATTGCTTGCAAGTAAAACGAAAGTAATATTTCCTCAACGTGAAAAGTTAAGTACATCTTTTAAGTGTCACCAGTAATAAAATGTGTCAAAATTACAAACTGTAAACGAAAATCGTGTTTTATATTAGAACTATAAAACTTGATTGTATGAATATATAAGAATATAATAAAAATATATATATAATATATATTAAAATATAAAGAAAAGTAAAATTCTATAACAATAAAAAATATATTAAATATATTATATTATATTGTATTACATTTTATTATAACAATTACAAATATTTTTTTAAATACGATGAAAACCAAGGACTTAATTAATAAGAGATGATGAAAAACAATTAGCTATTCATCGTATTTAACCAGCCTCCGTCTGGTAATAAATCCACATGAAATTGTTATCTTACCAATTGTTGATTAAATAATATTAATTATATATATTCTGCTGGCATAAATGGTGATGATTCTGCGAAAGTACATCGCAGATTACTGTTATGTTCTTATTTCACGGACAAAAAGGTAGTAAAATACGACATAGCGGTCTGCATTACCTTGAAGTATCAAATAATAAATGTATTATAACGCTGTATAAGATAAATTATAATATTTTTTAAACCAGACATACCGAACTGCACAAAGTCATTGACATAACGAACAATTTTCCTGCTGAAAGTGTGCATGGAACAAGACTTTTGTAAAGAAGTATACTTAATAATTTTTTGCTTTTTCCAGAAAATGTATACCATTGCGAACTGCATCTAAAAAGAGACAAAATGATATGAAATTGCAATATTACGCAATCTATTCACATTTATTTGCAGCATAATAATGATAAAAATTTTAGTAAAATAACAATGAAAATATCACTTTAATAATACTTATTAAACAACACTAGTCCTTTGTTCACGAACGCCACATGTATGTATATTTATCAAAAATTGAAATATTTGAATCGTTTAAAATGAAAGATAGGCAATGTAACTCTAATCCTTACGCTTTGTCAAACACCTCTGCGCTTCGGTCCATCAGCAATTGTCCGGGAAAACACAAACATATGAGATGGGTAGTTGCGGCGATAGTTATACAACTATACCTCACTATTTCTCCCGTATGCCCTACTTTGTTGATGAGCTGCAATATTTACGTCTTAATAATAGAAAATATATTTTAATCAGTTAAAACATATTCTATATCCTTTCTTACTTGTAATCCAATTACGCTCATAATCAATATATTCAAGAATAGAAGAAAAAACGTCACGTATGTGAATGTAGAGTCCAGTATGTGAACGTGCCTAAAGAGATCAGATAAAATAATTTATCACAAGAAAATTGAAAAAATAAGTTATTACATTTATTAAATTAATGTTTACAAAATTAATATCACTTATTATCGACGATAAAATTTCGCGTAATACGTACTCTAATGCAAGTTGATGTTTTTTCAAGCAAGCCATCAATTCATGATAATCATCGTTAGATGATCCAGAATCATGTTTCTCTATTAATAGATGATAATGCATCCCTGTATGCGTTTCCTCGTTATTGTAAATTTCAGCATCAGTTTTACAAATAATATTTTCGAGACGGTGGCTTAGAAATAAAATGTTGTAAATTAGCACCAAGTTTATTCGTTAAAAAATAAACAAAGAGTGAGGCTCCGAAAATCCTTTTTTTGCACAAAAAAATTATGACTTGGGAGATGCAGCATTCGAAAAGTTTTCTAAAGTGGACCAAAATTCATGTTAGGTTGCTTAAAAATCGGTTGCCGGGCATGTTTCTTTTTCGCCATCTCTCTTCTTGTGATGGACACTTCTTCGTGCTTCCCGATAATATAGGGATAGCTCTGAAACGATGCGTCTTAGCATGATAGTTTTTTGGCAAAAGTTAATCTACTTTTGAAGACTTTCCAAATGGTGCGCCCAAGTCATAATTCATTGTGCAAAAAGGGGATTTTTTTGAATGGGCTCGTGGCCTCACTCTTTTTCTAGAAAAACATAATAAATTGAGAAAGATCTGTAGGAGGTAGTATTTTAATTTTGTGCTTAATATTTCTCACCTGATAGCCGTAAACAGACTGCAAGCATGTAATACGCATACAATATATATACTATCAATGGTCAGTATTATACCAATGGTAGTCACACTCGATATAAAGGCGTGCAGTAAAATAGGATAATAGTATTTATCTTTATCCACTTTATATTCAGCTTCATATATATGTCTTAGTGGTCGCGACTCATTAAGCGGTATTACGATATCTAAGATTCTTGGTATTAACGGAATTAGCACATATAGCACTAATATTGTGTAACAATATGCTGAGAAAAAGAAGATATGTAATATTAACATTATATTGATTATAACATTATTTTTTTTATTAGGATTAATGTAATAATCTCGCAAATTATATTATGATAGAATATATGAAAAAATTGGATTTAAAATTTTTTATTCAATTACGTTGAAATACTTGAAATATTATCAAGCAATATATAAAATTTCTGTTTTTTTTTATATTATTGCGTATTACTTTTTTGAAAACTAATTATATGTATATACCTGCATAATATTTTGTTATTTTTTGGCCGATTTTAGCATAATGTCTTAGAATGTAACGTTCGGATTTATTATTAAAAAGCACCCAATTATCATTCATGAATTGCAGTAAACGTCGAAACTAATCAACAAAAAAATTTAAGATGAATAATCACAATCAGTATTAGCAATATCGATTTAAAAACTCACCTTGTCATTATTCACAACAATATTCATTAATTTTACATGAGCACCAAGAATAGGGGTAATATTAATAATACTTTCGATCAATATATCTACATCGCCCCAATTTTCTTGTAATAAAAACACCTTTGAATTAATGTCGTTCATGAATAATTAAACATTGAATATTAAAGAAAATTCAAATATTAAAAGTAAGTATGTAAAAATATATTTTTATCTAAAAAAGATGTATTCAACATTATTTTTTAAGTGTTTACTGATGTCTCTATAAATTTTATCCATTACTTGCTTAATTAACATGATGCATCACCTCAGTTACAAAAACAGAATATTGTACTGCCGTCAGAAAACACGGTAGCAGTATTTTCAATACTTTATGTTGATATGGCCAAACACCCATTCGCAACAAGTAATATTTATTGACAGCATAATATTCTTCCACGTCTGCGTTCATGTCTCACGTAATTCTTATGCGACTACGCGGTTGCGAAAGTTTCTCTTTATTAAATATTTGGTTATATAGTAAAAAAGCAACACGGAAACACAGAGTAATATGATTGTAGTAATACCAGATTGTCAAGCGTCGTTTGCCGTTCTGTGAAAGGTAGCTATTCAATCGATCGGTGACAAACCCTCTTGTTACTGTACTGTGACAGCTTGTTATAGTCGCATGAGGACACATTGTAAGATACACCGAAATTATAAACGCTCTATGTAATGCACGCAAAAAGATCTACTTGGTAGTGTCAGTGCAACATTGTTAGATGCAACAGAAGTATAATAAAGATAAAAGTCAATTTTCAAATTGTAGATAATATATTTTATAACAAATTTTATCAATATTATTGTATTTTTCAATATTAAACAGGGTTTTTAGGTTACTTTGTTTTTCCAATGCAACGGAAATTAATAATTTTTTTGTGAATTTTATGCTTTTTCTCTTTTCTACCTAAAAAATCTAAAATTGCAAAATTTTTATGTTAAAATGAAATATCTTCTTCTATGTTGTCTTCCATGTCTATGTCTTCCATCTTTTATAAATGTTATAAGTTATACAGTATGTTAGAATTACAAACTGTAAGATCGTTTTTATGATAAAAGAAGTCAAATAATTTTATGCAAATATCACAAGTTTTATGATATATTCAATTTTTGTATTTTTAATTTTTACGCATTGTCGTTTTAACATTCGTATCACAATAGCTGGTTTGATTTTTGATAATTAAAAATATAGTATCTAAATTCTAATACAGTATATTTTCATGAAATAGTTTGTATATTATTTTGAATATCTAACAAATTACTTAACAATATAAAAACTACAAAATATATTTCATTATAGAAGGTATTACAGGATCATAATTGTTATGTGAGAGAGGAAAATGTCATGAAGTAAGAGAGAGCCGTCTGTACCACCTGAAATGGAGAATGAATTAATAATTGTTCTTTTAGTGCAATGTTTATATGTAGTTTATGTTTATAGCACACATGTAGATATCGTATACTTTGTAATATGTAGCGCCTACCATGCTGTAATTGGCCATTGACATCACGTATATTTTACCGGCAGTCAGCGTGCACGGCACGAGACTTCTATAAAGTAATATTCGCAATAGATTTTTGCTTTTCAGCGACAATATGTACCAATGCGATCTACAACTGAAAAATTTCCTCTTTGCCTGAGAACTATTAAATTTTTTTACACTACGTTGACTGTCATGTCGTATTTGTCGAAAAACTTATTAAATAATTATTATTAAATAATTTTTTAATATAAAAAAAGGCAACTAAGAATTAATAATGTATTTTCAGTCATAATATTTATTCTTATATATATTTCATTATTTCGCACACGGCAGTCGATATATTTTTAATATACATAGAATATTTTTTAATAACAGAGAATACTTTAAATTTGCAATTTTTCAAGATGCAAAGTTTGGCAAGATTAAGTTCAAGAGGATTTGTTACATATCGCGGAAAGTTGTGCTATCTGGCAGATATAGTGGCATTTAATAGATATTGTTAATGTCTTGTATATATATTTTATGTAAAGTACCTAAACATATCGAGTATTATATAGCATATAGCACATATATCTATTTTAATTAATGAATTATATCAACAGTTCACTAGATAGCACAAGGTTCTCAGCGATATTTTACTTAAATTTTATTTATTATTAATATTATTTGTTTCTTTACGCTTGATCAAACACGTTCATGCTGTGATCCATTAATCTTTGTCCCGGTAGAGTCATGCACATAAGATGAAAGAAAGCTCCTGCGCACAAGCAAACGTATCTTATTAACTCTTCGATTTTGTCGAGATTACTGATTATCTAGATAAATAAAAGTTCTATCAATCATACGTGCTAATTTTAACAAGTTTTTTAATAATATATTTAATATTTAATATTAATATTTTTATATGATATACTTGCTTGCATTCCTATGAGACTCAAGACAATCATATTACACGACAGCTGGATACCAGACGATAGCATGAACGAAGATTCTAACAAAAGTGTATACCTGACAATGAAAATAATTTGCAAATTTATGAGTATTTTATAAATTTGTTGCAAATCAATTTCTTAATTAAGGCAAAGTCTAAATAAAAGTCTAAATATCTTAGCTTTTCTTCATTACGTTATTAAAGCAGTTAAGAAAAAAATACAAACTGTATTGCGAGTTGATGTTTTCGCAAGCACATGATAAATTCGCGAAAAATTGCCTCCTCTTTGAAATAAATATCCTCGACCTTTACGTTTTCGCGTGTCCTTTCTTTACTTTTCGTAAGATAGTTGGTTTTGCTGTGTCCTTTCGAAGTTATGTGCTGTAATTGATACCTGAGACAAGCATTAATTTTCAATGGAGATCTAGATTTTTGTCCACGAATTGCATTACGATTACACAGACGAATCCACTCTTTAACAAATGGAGACACTGAATTTTTTAACACTTTTTTTTACATATGTAAGTCTGTTTGGATCACTCTACAACAAGATTACTTATAGAAATAGAATGATAAATGTAAAAGTTATAATTTTAATAATACAACGAGAAAAATCTACTGCTTACACCATAATAAACATTAAATAATTACCCAATGGCTGCAAATAAACTGCAACCGTGTTGCACGTACATTACATATGTAGTATCGACGCAGACCACAATCGACATGATTATCGCGACCGCTACGTAAGAATGAAACAAGATCGGATAATAATATTTTTCGTGATCGATACGATACTCAACCTCAAACAGAAACCTTCGTGGACGCGTCTCATTGAGAGGCATTATTACGTCCAGAATCTGCGACGATAGTGGTATTATCAGAAACAGTGTTGTCGACGTATAAACATAAGCTGCGAACAACGACTATTATTTAACGCCTAAATAACACAGCCGATATTAACAATCGACAATATGCTGTTTTGCGAGATAAATAAATTGTAGAATATTCCATTATGGTGGAGCGTAAGTCACACACAATGGCATCTTACTTGCGTAAAATATCACCACTTTTCTAGTGAATGTAGCGTAATCCTGTAAAATTTCGACGTCCGCGGAATTCGTGAACACTTCCCAATGGTATTTAATCAAGGAAAATAAATACCGCATCTAAAGAGAATTTAAGTAAAAAGACGAAGCTATGACATTTTTTTTAAATACGCCGACATGTGTATATTTAAAAAATTTTTATAAAATCGTACCTTCTTAATCCTGAAACTGAGGTTGAATAATTTCGTGAAGCAAGCGATCACAAACAATATCGAGACCATGCACTCGACTGCGATATCGATGTTACCCCAAGTGTCAAACATTCGTATCATCTGAGGAGGTGAGGCGTTATTATAGGGGCAATCCGAGTAATTATGACACTGCACATTGCTACATTTAACATTGAGAGATGTGTGTATATTCCAACATCAAATTTACTCCAATGTCGCATTTAATTTGCATTAAGTAACTCTACTTGTTGTACACACGATGTGCCAAATAAATCGTACCTGTCAAATGAAGTGCGGTTGATTTAGAAATGTCCTATACTTGCAAGGGATGCGGATCGAAATTTGCTTCAACGAAACGTACGTCGATCTCGCAACATGAACGAGCGATGGTTGAAAAGAGACTGTATAATTACCTCCGGTATAAGGTAGCTGATATCGATGAACACTATCACACACGGTATTAATATCCTCATGCTTCTACTCTGATAGGGCCAAGCGCCGATCTGCGACATGAAGGTCTTGTTAATGCTGTAGTAACGCAGTATGGCGGACTGCATGGCGAAGGTATCACTGTGGTAGGGGATTTGTGAATAAGCGACGAGGCTGTGTTATACAAATGTTGTGCAGGATGTGCCGTGACAGTAAGGGCTGATGCGGTCGATGTTACAATAACACGTTGTCAGTTTCCCTTATTTAGAATTGTCATTCGAATAATAGGAGCGTCTGTCATGATAGCGATCTGTGCATGCAGATGGTTAGTACCTTTAACAATAATAATTCAAGATCTTTATCCGGATGTTAGAGTAGCAAACATTTCCATATTTTCATATTTTGCAAATAAAGCTGGGAAACGTATTCCAGAATCTATGAGATATAAAAAAAATGAGTTGACTATTCGACTATTCGCAGGTCGTATAATTCTATTAATTATATTACTATATATTTATTTATTTAATGTTTAAGACATTTTTAACATTTTTTTTATTTTCAACTTGAACCTATGTACGTATTTATCTGTTGCAGCAATTTTTATTTTATTATTATTTTTGTGCAATTATTTTTTTATTGGTATAATTCATATTTAATTATGACTTTTCCATTTTTAACAACTTGATTCTCTTAATTAGCGCATAAGATTTATAAAACGTTATAAATTATATTTGATAGTTTAAATTGTCAGCATACGCACATATTAAGCATTTTATTAAGCAGTCATTTTTTATTACAAAGATATATATTAAATGTAAAACATTAATTCATTACAAATTTTTTAATACAAAAAATATGAATATTTACCAAAAAATTGTCAACGTTGCGAAGTAAGACATTATCGCTTGCATTATTAAAAAAAATTAGAGAACTCATAATATTTAAATGCAGTATTAAACAACACATTTTTTTATTACAAACAAAAATACCGTACCAACTAAAAATTCTTAAACGATATTATACATATAATTTCCCAGTCATTATCTTACCCGATGTACGACTTTTAATTACAATAAATATGATGTCCTTTTGAAGCAGCACAAACATATTGTATCAATAGCATAAATACCTGCAAATTTATTATTTTTAATATCTGATGCGTCTATAATAATTGTGTTCCGATTATTTAGATTTGTGAACGTCTGAGCTTTGATTCAGCACGTACTGCGCCTTTGAAATAAGAAAAAAAACAATAAGTTACTTGAACGAATATGAATATAAGGGACATCATTATTCCATCCCGTTGTAACAGTCTGGTCACCAATTAAAGAAAAAGAAAAAGGGTATAGTATAAATAACAAAATTGTCTTTTTCGTATCTTTTTCTAGATGCCATTTAGAAAGTGCATTGTTGTTTGAAAATGATAAAGATGGTTTGACAAAAACATGTTCGCGAGATAAATTGTATTTAAATATTGCATACAATATTCGAAGACACGTAGAAACAATGGAATAAGTTTATGAATAGACTTTTATATTTTCCACACCAGCAAACAATAATAAATTAATATTTAGTATATTTGTGTGTCAAAGACTTATTAACATTATGAATACAGTGTCTAGTGTATCTTTCTTTGCACACATTGAATTAAGTATCTTAAGTTTAAGTATTTTAGGATATCAGATACACATATAATGAAAATGTTTTCATAAATGTGTTAGATATGGTTTGATACTAAATTATATAATAAATATTTAATAAAATTACTTATTTAATTTAATTATTCATTATCACAAATTTATACTTAAGTGTGTTATATCCCCTAGGTGATAACAAACACGGAAAGCATTAATCATCTTTTGAATCGTGTTAGTTATCCAGACTTGTAATTAACTTATTTTTTGAAAACTGGCAAAGTCAGAGAATTATAGACTCCAGCGAAAAAGTATAATTCTGCGCACGTATCTATAACATCATGGATACATTTGCAACATTAAAAATTATTTGGACTCATAGAAATATAAGCATTCAGAATACAATTGATATGTATAACGGAATAAATATAATTTCTTGCTACATTTCCAAATATAACAAAGCATGAGTATAATATGTCGGTAGGTGCAAGAAAGCTTCTTGTGATGAGAAGTAATAAAACCAATGGAACTAATGGCCAGTAAATTCGTGGTATCGTACGTAACTTTTAATATCGTAAGTGTATCTGTTTTATAAGCATCTATATTATTTTATATGTATAACAAATGCAAGCATATGTGTAGAAGGCTAAGTGCGGTGGCGCTTCTCTTCTTATAAATCAGTGCTCGGAATTAGTCTGAACATTTCAGCCGATTTCCGTGGTATACGCCTCCTCTCCTCTTCTTACCGTGCGCGCCGCAGCCGCTAGGGCCAGCGCCGCCGAGCGTTAGGAGCGGCACTATCCGATTATGAGTG